TATCAGCATTTTCACAAATTTAACTGTTTTGATTTGCTGAACAAAAACTGTCACTGCTCTTTGTATTAAATGCTGTGTTGTCTTTCCGTCTCCTGTTATAATTGGATAAATCCAGTAAATATCATATACGATGGTGACTTCAGACTTTAAATAAAATAATCTGATATCAGCAGCACATGGACTTGGGATGTGTTTAAAACTTAAGTGTATAATTGGGGTTCTAGCCGCATTGCATAATCTGTTAGTTATTTGGCAACTTTAACCTCAAAATATTTAGCCTATAACATTTTTTGCATCAACAAATTTATAGGCAATATAGGTAATAGTTATTATTAAGAACACATTTGTACGATTAACTTTTTTATCGTTTGTTCTGAAATAACATTTTATAAAATATATGCATGAGCGCGTGTGTGAATTGTGGAAAACATGATATCAAAAACAGGGTGACCCCCCTATTCGCACAACCAAAAACTGGGTAACCCCCCTACTGATCCACCAACCCCCCCTAGGCCGAAGTAACTGACCAATCCCTAACCTCAGAAATAAACTTACTCCAAATTGGGGGGGGGGGGTGATGGGCTGATTTAGGTTCAAAAATTTTAATTTAGCTTTCTAATTTGAATTGTTTCCATGTGTACACTGTGTGTAGTCAGTCTCATCACACAACCGCCCGCCCAGCCTCATTTGTGGGCTTGTTTTGGAAGATATCGAAGAGCATCTATGATGTTGGAAAATTCCTGTGACAATAGCGCCCCCATCAAATAAGGCATTCGTGGCACACCCGTCAATGTGGAACAGGTTACGTTCGTTCACACTTTGGCACCCTTCACACTGAATGGAATAATCCGTTTGATATGCTAATTTGTTTGATGCGTCCCACACCCGAGAGTTGTAGTATCGCTACGTGGTTTGAACTTCAACAGGCTGGCACTTGCATTCTTTACGCTTGCCAGAGACTGTGGTATGGCATATAGAGTTGGGATAAAGTAGGTGAACATGGCTCTTCAAGTAACGGTAACAAATGCTACCAATCTGCCAAACATCGAGAAGTTTGGAAAAATAGATCCACAGGCAACGATCGTCTTCCAAGGTAAGAGCATGACAGTTTGTTTTCATGCCTTCTTGGTGCTGAGTTTGACATGGACAGACATACTTTTCAATTTATTCTAACATATCACTGTTATTTCCGTGTCTTTATAACCATAGGTTCAAAAAAGAGAACAGAGGTAATCAAAGAGGAATTGAACCCGGTGTGGAACCAGGTACGTTAGCAATTGTTATTATTGTTGATGTACAATTGTCACTTGTAACCCGACTTTTATTGGGAATATCCAGGGGTGGGTGGATCAAAGTATCTCCTCAGTCCGAAATATCTAGAGAAGTTTCACTTTATTTCGACTTCCTGTCGAAGCCGACTACCGCGTAAGTTGTCTTATGACTGGATCCACCACTGACAAGGACCTAGCTCCGTGGCGAGGAAAATATAAATTAAGTTGCTTCTTCCAAGATCACGATTGGATATTAACAATAGCACATTTGCTTGAATTTGAGCAATCAGTCGCTTCGTTTGGAAGCTGGTATAACAAGTGTTAATTCGTGCATGGATGATAAAGTTTCTGTTTTATTTCGTATATAGAAATTTGAATGGGATTTAGGCGGAAAACCACTGGAAAGCCACGATGAGATCGAGGTTTACGTTAAAGACTGGGAAAGAGTCGGAAGAAACAGGTTGGATATATTTTCAGTTCATTTGTCGGTAATATTTTTTTGTGACTGCCGTTATATTATCACGGCAGTGCTCTCGCCTCATAATAATGGCAATGACATGGGATGGTATGTTGTGATAGTGGGTGGGGTTTTAATAGCATGTTTATGTTTTACAGGCAATTAATCACAGAGGAGTTAGATTCTCCCATATGGAATATTAATATGGAATACAATTAATATAATTGTATGCCTACTCATTTGTGAAGTCAGTCAACTATGAGTTGATTATTCCAGTACATTTATATGGTTAGCAAAGTTGTGTATTTTAAATTATTTAAGGTTTTTAACCTAAATAGCCGTTGGCATTATGTATTACCTATAAACTATCTATTGCCATGACAACACCACTGACCTAACTAATACATTTTGTTGAAATCAATTTCTAGGATCTAAAAAGCAATTTTTTAAATATTTTAGATTTTCAAGTATTTCAATATTTTGAATTTTGACATGTGTGCATAGCATCTGCTATTCATTAGCAGTGATAGTAGGTTACAGGCTTCAAATCGTGTATTGTTGTAGATTTTAGATGTGCTAAGAAAGTGATACCATGAAAAGTGGTGATAATAATAATAAATGTATTACATCCTAAATAAATAGTTTCCACTAATAAAATATTGTACTGTGGAATACTTTATTTTCGCTGGAATTAATTTCGCTGAAAGACTTTTGAGCGTTTTGTATGGAATTTATTTTCACTGATTTTGATGAGTTTAATGTGAAATATAGGAAAAAAAGTATATTCGCTGGATTTTATTTTCACGGAATCATCCGTTCAGCGAAAATAGCGAAAAGAAATTCCAAGCGAAAATAAAGTATTCTACAGTATGATATACAATACATATACATATAATACTAAAGTAAAATGTTGGTCACTGCTATTTCTGATCTCAAATATTTCGTATTCACCAGCTTGGCTTATTATTATATCTTCTTTTGAACTCATATTTGAATATCTGAACATCACTTTTTTTAATTCTTCTGCAATATTGATATTACTAAATAACTTTGTGTTTGATACCTGATATATTCTATAAAGATATACATCCTTCTTTCAATGGTGATATCAGGATAGACTGAATCGAACATTCCCATCTGAATAAATATAAAATACCATTAGTCAAGAATTACTACTAATAAACACCAACAATATTTTGCTTATTAGTGTTTAATTCACAAATTCATTTTCTGTAATTAACAATACAAATGTCAGACTTTTGTTAATTATTAAAAGTTAACAACCTCTTATGTAATTGCATCAGATGGGGATAGTAAATGTACATTCTAAATGTTACAACTTTACTAGAAATTTAAATAATGAGGTATTCATTAATTCAAATAATAACAATAAATCTTGAAGATATTTGGGACATATATTTATACTGTATATGGCTTAATTAGGGTTTTACTTTTTTTTTTTTTTGTATTTAGACAAAAATTCTATTTGGATCTTTGTAAAGAAAAATACACATCTCATGTTCCTGCTTTGTACAATAAATTTATGCAAAATAAAATCCACAAATTATGAAGCAACCTGGACAATTCCTCCATTTCTTAATATGAGTATTTAGCTTATTTCTTCTAACAGCTATATTATACTCAATTTCTTGGAAGGGTTTTACTTTTTGCTGAGAGGTAAATTGGCTGAATTAAAACCTGGTAAACCTGCAAAGTTATCAATAAAATGTAGTATTGTACTGTAACATTTTATTCATTAATTTCCTTCATGATTTGTGATTATTTGGATTTTCATCTCTGGTCTAACTTTCAGATACTTTTACCGATTGACCAATCATCAATTACTTAAATAATAAATAAATATAATGAAAACCTTACTTGCCTACCCAACATTTTGTTAGCCTGTCACTGCATGTGGATCCAACATGTCAATCACATATGAGATGCACATTGTTTGAACTATGTAAATTGTACAACATCCTGGACACATTATCACCTTCTTCCATTCAGTATAGGAATATTACACATAATTAGCTCATGTTTATTCATGAACTATGGATGATGTGTCTATTACATAGTCATTAATCTATTTCCTGTGTTATAAATTATTAATATGTACTCGTGTATTAGAATATTTAACTGAAGACGATTAATGTTTGCAAAGAACTCAGTCTTTGATAATAATTCCCATGTGGGAATAATCCCATTTGTTTTATTAACATTTGTCTATAGGCATGTTTTATTTATTGTGAATGTCGGTGACATTAAACAAAATATATTTTCAATATAATAAATAAATGGAAATATTGATCAACGTTTGTTTAATATTTTTATATTTGTTTAATTTACTGTTAATGTTTTACAAAATATTTACAGCTGTTAAATACACAGTAGCATTGCTATGGCAGTATCGTTAAACTGTGTGTATTTTGAAGCAATATGTATAAATATAAAGTGTTTTTTGTTTTATATTAGAGGATATTACCCTGGGTTATCACATTATATGCTTGGTATTTGTAGTATTACTCTATTACTGGTATAAACTTGAGGTAAAATGTTACTCAGGAATTTTTCACATGTGTACACATATAGCAGTGAAAATATTTTGTGTTGAAATTTGTCTGCAGTTAATTGTTTTAGTGTTAGTCAGTCAGTATTTAGTCAGTGTGTACATTTGTACGTTCACTGTCACTCTTTTTATGAAAAAAAAATGTAAAATATACATGTAAAATATACATATAAATAAATGTAAAATATACATTGAAATGCCATTTTAGCAGCCGTTTCCATAGACCAAGATGAAAACCCTCAGGAAATATTGTTAATTTTGTATTACTTCTAGACATCAACAAGTAGGACACTGTTTATATTTTTTTTAATACATCTACAAGCCAAATTCTGAGGTAGAAAACAATGGTAAACTGCTCTAAAACAGATGAAACCTGCTATATTTACTGTATTTTATCAATTTATATTTTCTCATATTTTTAAATCATTCTTGTAAAATAATTTATCAAATATGTAAAAACAAAGAAAATAACAATATTTTTACATTTGTGTAACATTTTACCTTAACTGAAACGTTTAAAGTCAACTTTTGTTACAAAATACATACATAAAATTTTTCCTTATTTTAAAAGTTATTTATAATCAAGACCCTACCTACAGTTATGGAAAATTAGGTCCAAAGTTAATTGAGAAATTACAGAAAAGTGCATAAAAATGTGGATTTAATGGGGTCCAAAGGGTTTATCATATGTGAATTCAGTCAAAATTTAGGTCAATTAAATGTTTCATAGTGTCCAGAATAATTTTGAAAATCGTTTATTTATTTTTACCTCATTGACATAGACATATGACATTTAATAACCTTTGCCATATGGAAATATACACATTGGGTTTGTCAGATAAAAATCTAAAACGTTCGGTACATTTAACCAAAATTTGGGCTGAATTTTTGTTTACAAAATGAATGTATGTGACAGTTTTTTTCAGTAGTGAATTGAAGATTGTTTTTCTCTGGTCAAATTATTTGTACCGGTATAATTTATAATTCATTACAAATGGGAATTTGTCTGCACACTGCTTTTCTGAAATAATTCTGGATGTTGTTCAGTATAATAGTCTGTCAATGTATTAACAATATGTAACAAGATTATTTGAGGTTTCTTGATGGGACTGTAAAAGAACAATAGACCAGGGATTGAATTCAGCCAGACTTCTGCCTGTCACAAGCCTATATAAAAAAGCAAACCTTATTTTAGGTCTCATTTAATAGATAGAATACCTTCCTCTGTTTCATCAACGGCTTGACTGTTCTTATGTAAATAGACAATTGTATCTACTGTGCTTAAAACCACAGAGGAAATTAGTTTTCTCTCATCTCCAGTGAAGATAATCCATTTTAACTACTTTAGCGCCTACTTAGTATTTCCCAGGAAGTCTTAAATTATTAACTCAGCTTTGTCATTTTTAAGGCTTGAAAAGTTTTAGAATGTGTCTATGTTATCGCTACTGTTTCCTATAGTATATGTGTCTATGTTATCACTACTGTTTCCTATAGTACATGTATATGTGTCTATGTTATCGCTACTGTTTCCTATAGTATATGTGTCTATGTTATCACTACTGTTTCCTATAGTAAATGTGCCTATGTTATTGCCTACTGATTCCTATAGTATATGTGCCTATGTTATTGCCTACTGTTTCCTATAGTATATGTGCCTATGTTATTGCTTATGGTTTCCTATAGTATATGTATGTTATTGCCTACTGATTCCTATAGTATATGTGCCTATGTTATTGAATACTTTATTTTCGCTTGGAATTTATTTTCGCTATTTTCACTGAAGGAATTAATGATTCCGTGAAAATAAAAACCAGCGAATATACTTCTTTTCCTATATTTCACATTCAACTCATCAAAAATCAGTAAAAAAAATTCCATATAAAACGCCCAAAAAGACTTTTCAGCGAAAATTAAATCCAGCTAAAATAAAGTATTTCACAGTATATGTACATTATGTTATTGCTTATGGTGACCTATAGTATATGTGTCTATGTTATTGCCTACTGTTTCCTATAGTATATGTTCCTATGTTATTGCTTATGGTTTCCTATAGTATATGTGTCTATGTTATTGCCTACTGATTCCTATAGTATATGTGTCTATGTTATTGCCTACTGATTCCTATAGTAAATGTGCCTATGTTATTGCTTATGGTTTCCTATAGTATATGTGTCTATGTTATTGCATACTGATTCCTATAGTATATGTGTCTATGTTATTGCCTACTGATTCCTATAGTAAATGTGCCTATGTTATTGCTTATGGTTTCCTATAGTATATGTTCCTATGTTATTGCTTATGGTTTCCTATAGTATATGTTCCTATGTTATTGCCTACTGATTCCTATAGTATATGTGTCTATGTTATTGCCTACTGATTCCTATAGTATATGTGTCTATGTTATTGCTTATGGTTTCCTATAAGTATATGTGTC